ACGCCAGGTGGCAGAACGTTGGCATGCCCGTTCTCCCAGCACTCCACCAGGCCAGCAGACAGGCCTTCCTAGGAACTCTGTGACTGTTGGTCGCACAGCGGCTGCTTGGTGCACATCTGGCCTGTACATTAGGATGTGCAAGTTCCTAAATGCAAACTACGCTCTGGTAAAAAGCTGAGTTAAAATGACATTCCCCAATGGACAAAGGCCCAGCTGCATGGCCTGGCATCCTGGATCTTGGTGATGATGATGATGGCAGCAAGAACCATATTAGCAACACCCATCCATTGAGCATCTGCTGCATGCCTAGGGCTTGATGAAACCTCACCACCTCTGAGCAAAGAACTACAGTCCCAACCCCAGAGGAGAAACTGAGGCTCCCAGAGGTTGTCTGCCAGAATAAGTCAGCTACCAAAAGGGGTAATGCAACCGAAGGTCTGGCTCCAGACTGGGAACCTGCTGTTGGGAGGTGGGGATGAGCAATGCCCCAGGGAGAGGGAGGAGGTGGTGGGAATGGAGACTCACCCTATGGGAAGGGAAGGCTGAGCAGGCCTTGCAGCACCAAATGCCCCTCCAACCCTGAAATGAGCAAGGACCAGAGCACACCGGGGGCAGGGAAGGTCTTGGCATCTGTGCTTGTGCAAATCACTCCAACACCTGGAGAGGGGCTGCTCCGCCTGGCCCACAGCCGAGGGCTCCTCCTCAGCGGCCTCTTCCAGGGGCCAGTTGGGGAACACCGGCCAGCAGAGGAGGGAAATCCCAGAGTTAGAAACACAAGTCTCTTTTGAAAGAAAGTTTCAAATTGAAGATAGTTTCAAGCTACTGCTACTAAAGAAGGATGGGGATCATCAGAGGAAGGGTCCTAGTGACCAGGAGGCCTGGGGAGATCCCAGGTGGAGGGAAGGGTCCTGGACAGAGTTGCCCAGGCCTGACTGAGGCTGTCAGCAGTGGGTGGCAGAGTATCCCAGGGACTTCCTGCTCCCTCTGCCAGGACGTGCCCCCCACCCTCATAGCAGTCCCAGACGGAGTCTGCATGCCTTATACACATTTCTGCAGATGAATATGGTTTTGTGACAAGCCTTGTCTCAGCACCTAGTCATTCTGGGGTTCAGTGAGCAAGAGTGTGCACAGCCAAGGGTCCTGTGTTATCAGATCGCTCTGCTTTCTGGTCAGGACAAGGTGAAGGCCATGTGCTCTCCTACCACAGTTCGGGATGCTCACACGGTCACCCATCGTGGGACGCATCCCACGCCCCCAATTTACTGAAGGTTGCTCCCAGCTCCCACCACCAGGGCTTCCGATAGGCTGGTTCGTTGTTTCAGGTGCTGGAATGACAGTGCACTGCCGGGCCAGTCAGCTAGGGTGGGGGTCAGAGCAGCACAGAGACGCCTTGGCTTTGTCTTTGTATTATTCTTTATTTATTGGTCCTACCAACATGACCCTCCACCCAGGCCCACTGTTCCTATGTGCACTGGCTTTGAGGGCTTTCACACCATGTCTGTGTCCCACGTCACGACTGACTTATCCTTCCCATTCCTTTTCCATTCTCTGCCGCATTTTCTCAGAATCCGAAGCCATGGTTGTTTGTGTGGGTCTGTGTAAAGGTTCCTTGGCAGGAGGACATGCATACGATCTTAATAAAGACAACACCACTCTGACACTAGGCAATGCATAGGAAAAAATACAGTACTCAGACATTGCAAATAAATACCCCATATAGATGAAGTTATCATAAATGTAACATTTCTTATGAATCAACACTGTAACAGAAGGTACAAAGGGGGTCCCTACAACTAGGAATAAGAAATGCTCATTCCAGGAAACAGAACTCTTCCTATTCTTACTACTTATTAGAATTTGTCCTGTATTTTGGAGGAGAAAGGAAGTTTGTTCTTCCTCTTTGAGTACCAGTATGACCATACAACCTCGCTCAGCAAACTGGGCAGATTAGTTTGCTAAGAAGCTTTATTTAGCAAGTTCTGTTACCTGAAATTAACAGTGATTAGGTACACCAAGCAAGAGAATATATGACATCTTCTCACGTTTGCGAAGAATACTATGGCTAGTCCCTCTCCCCCCTGCACGAGACCGACAGCACCCGCTTCCTTGCTGCCCGTGGCTCTTCACAAACACGGCATGGTCCTCACACCGCCTGCTTAGCGTGTCCCATAAAATTCGTTTGGTTCCCACAGCACTCAAGGCTTGTGTTCACTTTCATTGCTCAGCCCCTAAGTTTGCAAGGACCTGCACAGTAAAGAATCACTGACTAACAGAATTTTGTACAATTGCTGTTTTCTTTCCCTCAACGAAGATGCCCAGGTTCAGGTGTGAAGGTATACCCCCTTTCACACCTATTGGTCCACACTGGCCTTCAACATTCCCAACTAGCTCTTCACTGTCCGTTTTAGAGAATAAACTAGGCGGGACACCTCCCTTAACTGATGAAGGCACTACTGGCAATGATCATTAAGAAAAAGGTGTTGAAATAGAACACCCTAAAATTTGACGACTGTAGAATTTTCTAAGTGTACCACAATTTGGCACAAAACCAGAGTAACAAAACAATTCCAATTTGGAATTTCACTGGTACAGTTGTATAAAATTCTGTTAATCAGTCATGCTTCACGACATCCTAAAACCCAGAAATCTCTGGAATTTGTAGGTAATACTACTCATTCAATAATTTATCTTTTTTTGTTTTTCAAGTGCCTATAACTGTTTAACCAGAGCAAAGGTCAAGTTTTCTTCTTGTTACATTGAACTATTCCTAAGAATAATAATAATACAATATGAAAAACCCCAGAATCAGAACACCCTGGATTTCTTGACGAACATGGCATTTGAAACCTGTTATTTCAAACATGGGCCACATAACCTAACAGGCTGCTGGCCCGCAGCGTGGTGCTCAGCCGAGCTCCCTGCAGGTGGAAGCCTTTGGGCTGCCTGGAGCTGCACACTAGGACACCTCCGTGCCACACGCTGACGTCCAACAGCACATCAGGCGCCGAGACGGCACCACAGGACAAGGCGACCACAGCATGAGACCATCTCTATGCAAGGGACTAAGGAAACAAATGTAATATCAAAATATCAAAAGTGCACAGGTTGATCAAATGAGAAGGAGCTTCTGTAACAGGGAGCCCCAGTGTGAGTGTTTCTAGCGGGTTCCTAAGGGAGCCTGGTAGCTGCCGTCCCAGCAGGTTCTTCAAGCGCTTGTGCAAGAGCTTTTCCAAGCAGCGGCTGCAGCTTTCTGAACTTTAAAGCCTTTTTCCTCTGCCATTAAACACTCAGGAATGCTACCTGCAGTGGCATATCCAAAAACGTTTCTAAGTGGACTTTTAGGCTGCCCTTCCTTCCTCTGCGTGGGCCCACGGGAGGGGAGGGAAGGGGTTGCAGAGTGACAGGGCCGGCGGCCGAGTTCTCCCGGCAGCTAATCTACAGCTGAAAACGGGAGAAAACAAGACAGCGTTAGAACCAGTCACTTGTCGGACAACGGGAGCTCTTGCCGAGCTGAGTGCGCAGGTGCGTTAGTCAGCAGCAGAGACCTGCGTGTGTTAAGGAAGCCGCCAGCTCCCAGTGCTTCGTGAAGATTCCTTACAAGTACGGAGGGAAGCTGTGTGCCAGGCTCAGCGAGGGGGCAGAAGCAGCTGTGGAGCCCTGGCCCCAGCAGTCCTGCTTGCACAAGGTGGAGGGCCTGACCCTTCTCTAGTGGGAGAGGAATCCAAAACCGACATCCCTTCAGCAAAGCCGCCCGGAACCAGGGGCAGGCACGCAGAGGGGTCAGGTGCCCAACCCGCATCTCTCCACTCCCATGGGTGGCAAAGCCCAGATGGTCTGTGCAGCATCTGGAGTTTGGTGGGAACTGAGACACACGAGGGGACCAAGGGGAAGAGTGGAGTTGGGGCAGGCAACTGTGTGAGCGGGCCATGCCAACTCCCCCTCTGAGCCACAGAGCACCCGTCAGGGAGAGGCCTCTGTGGGGTGAAAGGGAGGAAAAACACTGAGAAAGGTGCTGCTTCCGAATGTGGCCAAGCTCTGGTGTGGAAGCAGCTGCTTCTCCTGCCCGCCGCCACCTGGCAATGACAGTGGCCCGGGGGTTTCCAGAACACTGTTTCTTAGGGTCTAAAGCCCCCCAGGAGGAAGGCCTGGTTATGGAAAGCTGGGGACACCCTGATACAAAAGGATGGCTTCCCCCAAGGAAGGGACTCTGGTCAGGCACTTGGGAAGATTTTCTCATGGAAAAAACCCCAGGTTTCGGGCCTGCTGATGTGTTACCTCGCAGGCCTCCAGACCAGTGTGCCAATCTCAGAAAAAGGAGCTGAGGCTCTGAGCTGATCTCGGTGTGGCCAGATGTGCCTCTGCCGCGCGTGGCCGGTGCTGGGCGCACACGCACACCTGGGCTGGAGGACTCGGGGCTCAGGGCTGCGCTTTCTCTGGGGGAGAAATTCAGTCCTTTAGTCCCGAATAGGATTTGCAATGAGATGGTGCATAAGCTACGAAGTAATTCTGTTCGGAGGCAGCAGCCGGAACTCTCAGAACCTCTGACATGCTCCCAGGTGCCGGGCGGCGCAGCTGCACTAGACACATGCACATTTCACCGCAGAGCCGATGGCACACGGGGCCTGGAAAGCCACCTTGTTTCAAGGACTCCTGGCTCTGCCCCCACCTTGACCCCCACCTCTTCCCGCAGGATAGCCGCTGCCATGAAGGGGGCCCCAGGGCGAGCTGCAGACTCCCAGCTGCACTGTCAGGCGGAAGGAAGCACCATCTCAGCTAAACCCTTCCCTCCGCGTTAGTCCCGGGAAGACCAGCCTAGCGCGCGGTCCCGCTGCTGCTGGGTTAGTTGAGATGAAGCAGACAGGTGGCGGCGACAGGTTAACTGCGGTGGGTGGCCCGAAGGCCTAATCGCAGCAAACGTTATACTTCTCGCCGCAGAGCACCTGGGCAGTAAGCCCGGCACTCTCGGTCCTGTCGCTGGCACTGGCACAGGTGTGACTTACGCTTGGGGTGCTGGACTTGACTTTGGGGGTGGCCTTGGCACGGCCCCGCCGGGTCTGCTCGTGGTCCAGCTCAAGCAGCTCCAGCCGCTGGGTCAGCGCCAGCTTCTGCTGGATGGCCATGCGCAGCAGGGAGTTGAGCGTCTTCTTCTCATCCTCGGCGGCCGCCAGCTGCCGCTGCATCTCGTCCAGCTGTGTGATGTATTCGTCACACCTGTGGGGACATCGAGGTGAGAGCGTGGCTGAAGGCCCCGGGAGGGACGTGGGCACTGCTCATCAGGCTGGGAGAAGAGGACCTGCCCTCAGGAGTTGGCTTCCCCTGGGAGGGACTCCATGAAGCTGGTCTTCACTGACAGGGCAAGGGTGCCTCTCAAGGCCTTCAGGTCCCCCGCAGGAAGGTGGGTCGAGGCTCTCCGAGTGTGGGAGTAAATCCAAGAAAGGGACTTGGCTTGTTCTGGGGTTAGCATGTGCCCAAATGGCCAACCTGAGCCTGGAGGGCGCATGTGGGTGAGTGAACAGCCCCTCTGGGTCTGCCCCACCTGAACATGGAGCTGGGGGAGGTGCACACTTGGGGGACTCCCTCCTGTCCGCAAGGAGGGAGTGGGCCTGGGCAGAAGGGCCACCTCCACACTCTCCTTCGCCAGAGGCCAGGGCCACCAGTGAGTCTTAGCTCTCGCCCAGAGGGGAATGGTTTGTGATTTCAGCTCTGAGAAGGCAGGTTTGTGAAGGTGAGGACGTGAGTGTCAACATGCCAGTGCTGAGTGATGACCATCCTTCCCACACTCTGCCCAGGAGGGGACGCTTCCCAAGGAGCCTGGTACTTTCTTTCCTTGTCTTCACCCTCCCCTATGGACAGCAGGGGTCACCCAGCACCCCAGGGGGAGGAAAAGCAGGCCCTGAGCTCAGTTACAACCCCCCAACACAGGGAGCCTCAGCCTCCTGACCCTGAGGACGAGCCTGGACCATCTAGGGACCATGCAGGCCACTGCCCAGGGCCTGCCTGAAACTGGCAGCAGATGGCGCTATGCCCCTCTGGATGGCAGAAACACCAGGAAGCCGTGAACTTCCCAAGACCCTCTCCCGCCCCAAATCTCTGTCAGGGTCAGACGGGGGACACTGGAAGGAGGGGGGATGGGCTGAGAAAGGCTGTGCTGCTTAATCCACAAACTTCCAGCCAAATTCTGGGAAGCCAACTCCTCATTTGTCAGTTACTGGCCCCAATCTACCCTGCGTAACCAGCAGCCCTGCCACTAGGGACCTGTCCTCTTTAGCCTTCGCCTTCAGCTTCCTCATCCGACATGTGAACACAAGCTATGCCCTCTGGGTGTTCGCAAACCCAGAAGGGGCACGTCCCCAGGGGGCAGTGTTACCTGGTGGCGAACATGGCACGCAACGAGGAGAAGGTGGCTGCGTCCTCCTTGAGGGCCTTGAGTTCGTTGCGCAGCTTCATCATCGTCTCGGTCACCATGGCTTTCTCGTTCTCGTACTTGCTCTTCAGGTTGGCAAGGGCCACCTCGGCTGTCTGGGGGTCAGAGAGACCAGGTGGGTGGGTGAAGCATCCGCTATTTCACCAAGTGCCACGGCCAAGACCCCAACCTGTCTGGCCCCTCAGCACCCAGCTCCTCCCAACCGCACTGAGTCAGGCTCTCCCACCTTCAGTAGCACAACCAACACAATCCATAGCCTGAGGCCTGAGCTGACCTGTGAGATGCAGGCCTGGGGGGCAGAGAGGGCGAGGAGCCTGCCAACGGGCTGAGCGCAGCACGCACCTGCTTGTTGGCCTTGAGCACGGTGCGTAGGGTGGTGATCTGCTCCCGCTTGGTGCTGAGCAGAGACTTGAGCTTGAGGATCTCCTCCATGAGCGCCTCCCGGTCCTTGTCTGTGCCAGGGCCCAGCTCCTGGGAGGCCAGGCGCTGCCGCGACAGCTCCGTGGTGCGGTCCACGGCCGCCTGCAGGTGCCTGATCTGGTCACGGATGATGGCAATCAGATTGTAGATGTTCATGGGCTCCCGGCGAGGGTCACTCAGGGGTGAGGGCAGTGAGAGGCTGCTGTCCCCAGCCCCGCCCTCTGCAGCCAGTGGCCCCTTGGGCAGGACTGGTGAGCGGTGTCCGTGGGCTTCAGGACTGCAGTGGCCGGCGCCGGCTGGGCCCTCACGGTAGTAGTCCAGCACGACACGGGTGGGCGTCTCGTTGTTGCACATGCACACGTGGTGGTAGAGGCTGGCCAGCTCCTCGCTAAAGGTCACCAGCTCATCCTGGGCCACACTCAGGCTGCCCTGAGTCTCACCCGCGACGTCACTGACCTTTTTCAGCTCTGTCTGCAGGCGGGCCAGCAGCTCGCGGTCCTGGCCACTGGCCTTCTCCAGCAGAGACACCTTCTCGGCGAGCGCCTGGCCCTCAGCCTCGTGGCGGCCCTTCTCCTCAGCATGCCGAGCCTCGCTGGCCTCGTGTGCACTGCGTAGGGCCTTCAGCTGCTCCCGGAGCTCACCGGCCTCTGCCAGGGCCACGCGGTACTTGCAGGCCAGGATCTCAGGCCCATTGATGTCCACCTCATAGTAGTCGCCATCCTCATGGCTGTCGCGCTCCTTCTCACTGTCCAGGGCCGTGCGTCGCTCCTTGCCAGCCTGCAGGCGCTGCAGAGCGCTCAGGCTCTCGGTGAGGCGGCTCACCTCCTCCCGCTGCTCCAACAGGGCCCCTCGAGCCTGCTCCAGCTGCTTCTGCGCATCCTGCAGGGTCGCTAGCAGGCCCGCCTTCTCCCGCTCCATCTGCAAAGGCACAGAGAGGGCCCGTCAACAGCCCCACCTGTCACTCTGCTGGCCTGGGACTGTGAGATAGGAGAAGGGTCTCCAGGCCTGGGCAGTCTGACTAAATGCTGTTGTGCTAAGTGTTACAATGTAGAACAGTATTTTGCAGAAGCACCTATAAACAGGATGAATTTGATAGGCACTCAACCCGACACATACCTGCGAAGAAAATACCAACGTGAACAACAATGAGGTACCATCTCACACCTGTCAGACTGGCTATCATCAACAAATCAACAAACGACAAGTGCTGGAGAGGATGTGGAGAAAAAGGAACACTTGTGCACTGCTGGTGGGAATGCAGACTGGTGCAGCCACTATGGAAGACAGTATGGAGTTTCCTTAAAAAACTGAAAATGGAACTCCCATTTGACCCTGTGATCCCACTTCTAGGAATATATCCCAAGAAACCAGAAACAACAATCAGAAAGGATATATGCACCCCCATGTTCATAGCAGCACAATTCACCATAGCTAAGATCTGGAAACAGCCTAAGTGCCCATCAGCAGATGAGTGGATTAGAAAACTGTGGTACATCTACACCACGGAATACTATGCTGCTCTAAAAAGGAAGGAACTCTTACCATTTGCAACGTCATGGATGGAACTGGAGAGCATTATGCTAAGTGAAATAAGCCAGTCAATGAAGGAAAAATACCACATGATCTCACTCATTCATGGATAATAGAGACCATTATAAACTTTTGAACAATAATAGATACAGAGGCAGAGCTGCCTCAAACAGATTGTCAAACTGCAGCGGGAAGGCCGGGGAGGGTTGGGGGGCAGGAGGTAGGGGGGTAAGAGATCAACTAAAGGACTTGTATGCATGCATATAAGCATAACCAATGGACATAAGACACTGGGGGATAGGGGAGGCTAGGGGACTGTCTAGGGCGGGGGGATAAAATGGACACATATGTAATACCCTTTGCAATACTTTAAGCAATAAATTAAAAAAAAAAAAATAAATAAATAAAAAATAAAGAAAATACCAACGTGTACTTGACAAATGGTGTATGTAAGCAATGGCTAAGCCTCCTTCCTGCAGGCAGAGCTGTGGCTATGAATCCCCTTTACTTGCTGCAAATAAATAAAACTACCTTGTGACAACCACATCTCGTTCTAGAGCACCCCAAGTGCAGACCTCTGAGTTCAGTAACATGCCTAGATGGGGTACCATGTGTGGGGCCACTGTTGGTCCTCCCCTGCCTAGTCCTGGGGGGCCATGCGGGTCCCTCCTCAGAGGAAACAGACACTGGGATTCCGTTTGGTCCGGGAGGAAACCCTATGTGACATCCACAGGACAGAGAGGAAGACTGCAGGTGTGCACTGCAGGGGGACACGAGAATACCTTGGCCAGCACGCAGAATTCAACCTCATAAGCAGGACCCCACTCCTCTGCGAACCTTCCACCGTCATGCTGCAGTTCCACTTACGCCAAGGTGAAACAAGGTGGGGCAGAGGGAGGCGGGCCACCTGCGCCACCTGCCCGCCCACCTGCTCACCTGCACCAACTGCTGCGTCAGCTTCTGGACCTCCGAGAGGTTGAGCTCGCTGAGGAGGTCGGACACAAGGCCGGGGCAGGGCGGGGCCAGACCGTCCTTGGTGGGCGTGGAGGTCTTGTTGTCCAGGGGCAGCTTGGCCAGGCAGCCGTGCTCAAAGCCGTTAGCCAGGGCCTCGGCGTCATCGCTGAGCTTGAGGCCATCCAGAGAAACGTGCAGGTGGCTGGTGTAGAGGGAATCGTTGATGCTCATGTAGTGCGACAGCTCCTTGCGCAGGCTGTTCTTCTGCTCCCGCTCCGTCTTCAGCGTCTCTAGCGCCTCCTCCAGCTGCCGCTCCGAGATCTCCTTGAGCCGGATGGCGTCCTCCAACTGGCTGTTGAGGTACTCAGTCTCCTCCTCCAGTCGCTTGATCTCATGCTTGAGGCCCTCAAACTCCACCTGGGAAAGAAGCCAACACTTGTCTCAGCCCAGTGACGAGGCAGCACCATCGCGCTGTGACACCAGGTGCAAGCACACAGGACCGTGTGCACACGGTGTGTGCAGAGCACCAGCCACGGCTCGGAGCGGAGATTCCATGGGAATCTGAACACACGCACCAGGCCAATGTGTTAATGACGTCATGGTTACCAAGTGTCTATTGACGTTAAGGTCTACGAAGCTACTTAACATGAATAGTTGACGACATATTTTAAGGCACATAAATACATATCTGAATGTGCGCTGCGACCATTAATCCCAATGATACTTCAAAAACTAAGAACCCGCAGTTCCCACGGAGGCAGGGCCCTACTGAAACTGCATTTGCAGATGGACGAGGAGGGAGCAAGCAGAAACCTGTGCTTAACACAGGGGATGGGAGATCAGGGCCTATGCGCAATTTAACAAAACACTGCTATTTATTCTGCAATAACATTATGCTAAGCGAAATAAGCCAGTCGGAGAAAGATAAATATCACATGATCTCACTCATATGTGGGATATAATGATCAACATAATTTGATGAATAAGAATAGATCCATCTAGAGACAAATGGTGTGTGTTGCGGGGGGGTGCGGGGTGGGAGGGAGGTTGGAGAGCAACCAAAGGACTTGTATGCATGCATATAAGCATAACCAATGGACACAGACACTGGGGCGGTGGGGGCTTGCCTGGGGTGGGAATGGCTCGGTGGGGTGAGGGGGAGGTGTCAACTGGGGAAAAGGGAGACATGTAAAACCTCAGACAATAAAAAAAGAAAAGAAAAACGTAAGGAACCCACTGAGAGGCAGTAGTGAGCGCATCTCGGATGGCCGAAGCCCAGAGGACATGCCTAGGATGGAGCTGGACTCCACCACATGCTGCTCAGGCTGGAGGCGAGATCTCCCTCTCCTCAGGCCCTTGTGCGGCCAGAGGCGGAGCTCTGTGCTGCGTTCTTGGGGAGAAGTGTGCTCTCTGCTGGCTTTTGCAAACACAGAGGTTCTGTTGTTGGGATAAGCACGTGGCCCACACTTCCCTCTGCAGAATTCCCACTGGGGGAGGAGGCCCCTCAGTGCCCACTCTGGAGCTGTGGCGCTGAGAGAAGCAGGTGCCAGGGAGAGCACTGAGACCCTCGGGCCAGGACCACCTGGTTGGCCGGTCACAGGGGAAGATGAGCCTCCTCGCCTCACCCATTGCTGAGTTACTGAGGACAGACGATGGCTCGAACATCCCCACTGCTCCTCAAGGTAGGCCCTGGCTTCACCCAGAGGGTCCCTCAAGGCCGGGACCACAAAGGATCACAGGGGGCTGGCACCTGAGACAGCAGGAGGGATGCGCAGGCCGACACCTCCCAGGCACCACAGGACATGGGGACATCGTGGGCTTCCCGCCAGCACCTCGGAGGGGACTAAGCTGGATACCCAGCCTCTGAAGATTTTTGGTGTCACCTCTTCATCGCTCCTGCATCTCCCATTTCTGCTGGCCAGGAGGCCTCGGCCAGGCCATGGTCAGCCAACACTGAGAGGCCCTGTTCTTACGGTTGTGGAGGGGCCAGACCCTGCACCACACTCCTGGTCAGCATTAGTGTGTGGCCTTCTGACAACGCAAAATGGCAGCATGAGGGGGTGTGAGGGTCGCGGCCCAGAGCGAACCCCGGCCAGCCACTTGCCTGGTTCTGCCTGAGCACAGACACCTGCTTCTGCAGGCTGATGTTCTCCTCCTCCAGCTCCGAGTAGTCCTGCAGCAGGCGCGCCTCCCGGAACTTGTACTCCTTGATGTCATCCCGGAGGCGGCCCCGCTGAAGCTCCACGTTCTGATTGATCTGCCGGGAGGAAGGCGGGTGTGAGCAGCCTGCCCAGCTGGCCCTGCCACCCCTGGGGTTTGGGGGGCTTGGCGCAGTCAGGGGAGCAGGGGCCCTGGGCAGGGTGAGGGGTGAACAGCGAAGGGCTCTGACCCTTGATTTCTTCATCTGTAAAATGGGTTACAGTGGTGCAGCCTGTGGGAACAGCTCAGCAATTCCACCTGCCTTGGCAATGCTGCTCCCTGGCTGCACCCCAGAGAAACGAAGGCACAGACTGAAGAACAGAGACGCATATGTGGGCCCGGGCCAGTGTGGCTCAGTTGGGTAACTGTCGTCCTGTGCAGTTTGATTCCAGGTCAGGGCACAGGCCCAGACTTGGGTTCAATCCCCAGTCTGGATGTGTGCAGGAGCCAACTGATCAATCTCTCTCTCTCTAAAATCAATAAAAACATTTTAAAACATTCATACAATTGACAAAATGCCGCAACACGAATGAAAACATTATCATGAGGGAAAGAATCCAGACACAAGAGGTCATCCTATCTAATAAAAGAGAGACATGGTAATTAGCCGTATGACCACTACCCTTCCTATTGGCGAATCAGCAAGATATGCAAATTAATCGACAGCCAAGATGGCAGCTAATTTGCATATGTCAGCCCCAAGCCTCGGACTGAGGCTTTAGGCTGGGGCCTGGGTGGAGCCAGCCAGCGATCGGCCACGGGGAGCTGGTGGTGCCCCGGCCCAGGCCTAATGCCTCTGCCAGAGGCTTTAGGCTTGGGCCAGAGAAGAGCCAGCCAGCGATCATTGATGGCAGCAGCGGCAGGGAACCGGGGGGAGCCAGCCAGCTATGCTTGATGGCGGCAGTGACAGGGAGCTGGGGGTGCCCCGGCCCAGGCCTAACACCTCGGCCAGAGGCTTTAGGCTTGGACCAGGGCGGAGCCAGCAAGCGATGCTTGATGGTGGCTTTGGCAGGGAACCGGGGCGGAGCCACTCAGTGATCGGTGCTGGGGAGCTGGGGGTGCCCCCGTCCAGGTCTAAAGCCTCGGCCTGAGGCTTTAGGCTGGGGCTGGGGTGGAGCCAGCCAGGGATCATTGATGGCTGCAGCAGCAGGGAACCAGGGTGGAGTCAGCCAACGATCCTTGATGGCGGTGGCAGCGGCTGTGGGGAGCTGGGGGTGCCCCGGCCCAGGCCTAAAACCTTGGCCTGAGGCTTTAGGCTTGGGTTGGGGAGGAGCCAGCCAGCGATTGTTGATGGTGGCAGCGATGGGGAACCGGGGCGGAGCCAGCCAGCAATCCTTGATGGCAGCGGCGGCAGGGAGCTGGGGATGCCCAGGCCCAGGCCTAAAACCTCGGCCTGAGGCTTTAGGTTTGGGGCGGGGAGGAGCCAGCCAGCGACTATTGAGCCAGCAATCATTGATGGCAGCCCAGGCCTAACACCTCGGCCTGAGGCTTTAAGCTTGGGCCAAGGAGGAGCCAGCCAGCGATCGTTGATGGTGGCAGCGGCGAGGAGCTAGGGGTGCCCAGGCCCAGGGCTAATGACTCGCCAGAGGCGTTAGGCCCAGGCAGGGGCCATACCGGCAATTGGTGTGAACTACAGAGGAAACACCTTTTCTGACTGCTGATTGGCTAAGCTCCCTGTATGCCACTGGTAATATTCTTAGTAACTTGGGTAATGAGAGTCCAAATAGGTGATCTAGGGTTTTTTACCACACTCCTGGAGAAAAAAAGGAAGGTCTGCTGCTGGAGGGTTAAGAAATGTCATATCCTGCCCTAGCTGGTTTGGCTCAGTGGGTAATGCCTCGGCCTGCCCAATGCAGATTCTGGGTTCAATTCTGACCAAGGGCATGTACCTAGGTTGCAGGTTCCTCCCTGGCCCGGGCCCAGGTCAGGGCTCATGCAGGAGGCAACCAATCAAAGTGTTCCTCTCACTTTGATGTTTCTCTCTGTCTTTCCCTTTCTCTTCCACATTCTCTAAAAATCAATGGAAACATATCCTCAGGTGAGGAGAGAGAAAGAAAAGAAAAGAAAGAAAAGAAAGAAAAGAAAAGAAAAGAAAAGAAAAGAAAAGAAAAGAAAAGAAAAGAAAAGAAAAGAAAAGAAAAGAAAGGAGGGAGGGAGGGAGGGAGGGAGGGAAGGAGGGAGGAAGGAAGAAAGAAGGGAGGAAAGGAGGGAGGGAGAAAGAAAGAAAGAAAGGAAGGAAGGAAGGAAGGAAGGAAGAAAGAAAGGAGAAAGAAAGAAAGAAAGAAAGAAAGAAAGAAAGAAAGAAAGAAAGAAAGGTCATATCCTATGAAAGACACATCTTGAAAATGCCTAAAGAAAGTTGTCATTTTTTCATGGTGAAGGGACTGGAGTCCGTGTTGATGAAAACACCTTGGTGGCTGCGGTGACTGGCAGTGGCTGCAGCAGCGGGGTGATGGGGCTGGTGCCTTCCCCTGATCAGCCCGGTCGACTCCCACAAAGGGAGGCCAGACTGCGGCTTAGGCCCACTCCCCAAGGGGAGCAGGGAGCAGGTAGTAGGACATCCCCTAGGGCTCCCAGTATGTGATAGGGGGCAAGCTGGGCTGAGGGACCCCCCTCCAGTGCACAAATTTTTGTGCACCGGGCCTCTAGTGTATTATATGATTCTGCACAAATGAAATGTCCAGAAGAGGCAAATCCAGAGATGGAAAGTAGGTGAATGGCTGTAGGGGTCAAGGGGAGATCGGTTTGGGGGGATGGGCAGTGTCTGCTAATGGGGCTTCTTTCTGGATGATGAAATGTTTTAAAGCTGATCTGAGATGGTGCATAATCTGTGAATATACTAAAGCCCACTGACTTGTACACTTTAACCCCTAGAGTGCCAGGGAGCGCGATCGCGCTCCTCCTGTCTTTCGCCAAAAGTGCCGGGAGCGCTATTGCGCTCCTCCTGCAGTGTCCAGTTCCAAGTCTGCTTTTATTAGTGATGATGATATTGCTAAATATGTCAATTCTTGCTGTAAAGATGACGATTTTGTGGAAGATACTGAATATGTAGCTTCATTTACTTGCGATTCATAATTTTTTTCCTAAACTGCTGTAAAATCAGCAAAAATGCCTTGGCAATTTTAGCATAGTTCCTAGGATATTGGTTGGCACTCAAAGGGTTAAATGGGTGAGTTGTAAGGATGTAAATTATCTCTATGAACCTGTTAAAAAATAGTTCCTGCCTTCAGGTTGCCTTGAGGATTCAGATGTCCTGCAGGGAGGGGCTGCCATGTGTACCATGTCCCAGAACCTGGTCCCTTGGCCCCAGACTCGGCGACATCCTGGGGTCACCTTTACGCTGCAGGACCTTTAGCAGTTCCCTGACCCCTGCCCACCAAATGCAGCCTCCCCTGTGGAAGCAACTGAAACTGTCTCCAGACAGAACCAGTGTCTCTGGGGACATAACTGACCCCTAGACACACTATCTCCCCTCACCTCCCCTGTCGCTCCAAGTGGCCTCCCTGTAGATCTGCAAAGATCTGGTGCCCCAGCCAATGCCGCCGCACCTGGGCCCAGGCACCTGCTGGGCCCACAGCGTGCTCTGTCCTCTCCAGTGCACGGTCCTCTCCGCGGGCACGGAGAGTCCCTGTGATGGCATCCATGCACCAGTGCAGACACGATTCCAAGTTCCATGCAGGCACACACAAACAACGTGATATCATTAAACGAAGTAGATTTAAATTTAAAAAAAGAGCAAAGAAAAGCCACAGAGGGGGAATCATCACGTACAGCTCCCAAGACCTCTAGCAAACGGAAGGGCGCAACCTCTGCAGACGGGCCCGGGAGGTGGATGCCGGGAGTCAACACCAGGGAACTGCCTGGACAAAAGGCCTGGCCCCACAGAGCAAAGCTCCTGGCAGGCAAGCAAAACGAAGCATGATGGCAGTGTGAGTGGCCACTTCCATGAGGGACCACACGGGCTCGCTTCCATTTACCTGGGGAGGCAGCTGGGAGTCCCAGCCAGGTGCGCATGCAACCTCGCCTCTGGGCCTCGCACTGACACCCGACGACGGGGCAGTGGGTTTCAGTGCCAACTGAGTGCGGCCCCAGCATCCAGATATTTGCAACACCAGCCTAGATGTCCAGGATCTTTCGATGAGATTGACACTGAAATTAGCCAACCATGAGTAAAGCAGATGACCCTCCACTGTGTGAGTGGGCCTCACCAATCAGTCGAAGGCCTTAAAAAAACAGAAACAAAAATACTCCAGAACTCTCAGAAAGAGAATGCTGCCCCCAGGTGGCCTTCGGATAGAGCTACAACATGGACTCTCCCCAGAGTGCGCACCAGCTGCCCCCCTGCGGAGCTGGGGCTGCCAGGCACTATAGTCCTGGGAACCAATTCCTTACGTGATTCTCTGCGTGCGCACACACACATGCTCCATCCCACGCACACACCTTCCATGACACATACATGCACACACGCCATCTCACGCACTCACCCTGTCTCACTCATACTTTCCATGATATACACCGTCTCATGAGCACACCCTCCCCATCACTCACATGCACACTCGCACGCGCACACCCTCCATCTCTCACACACACACCTTCCATGACACACACGTGCACATCTCTCTCTCACGCACCCGTTGGTCTGCTGCTCTGCGAGCCCTCACCACTAACATCAGAATGTGGGCTACGGCACTGGCTTTGTGAAGAGGACTGGGTGCCCCTCCCCTTCAGTCCAGCCTGCCCTGGGCAGACACACCTGCGGGGCACCTGCCCGTTCAGTGTGGGGAGACTGGGTGAAGGAAGGGCTGGCCATGAGCAAATTCTGTCCCTGTCCCTGTCAACGGGCTTTATTTAAAACTAAGCATCTCCCCTCAAGCGGACACCTGTGCTGAGTGAGCTAAATCCGCACAGACTTCCTTCACAGAGTCACCTTTCTTCATGGAGGTGAAATTCACACACCCAAAGGATCGCCCACGGAAAGTGTACGAATCAGCGGGCCGCTGACTCAGAGCACCACTACCCAGTGCCAGGGCATTTCATCGCCCTAAAAGGAACCACACGGCAATTAGCAACCAACGCCTGCTTTCCGTCTCCATGGGCGTGGACAATGTGTGGCACCTGCCCATCTCCACAGGCACTGTGCTGGGGCGTGGCCAGCAAGGGACTCGCTCCCTCCCTTCACTGCTGAGCACCAGCTGTGCTGGGGACTCACTGCAGCTGAAGCGCCCCCAGGCGACCCCCAAAGAAGGCCCTGGGTGGGGGAGGGGTGGGGTAGGGGCAGTTGTGCTGCCACAGAAGCTATGCCCGCAAGCACGGCCAGGATGCCGCCTGTGCGGGAGTCCCACAGCCCGAGTCCCAGCCCTGAGCCATGGGGTCCGCACAGGAGAGGTGACTGCTGAGGCAGACGGAACAGCGCGGCCACAGGACAGGCATGCTGAGGCAGTCACCACCAGGCAGGAGGCCCCGTAGGGGCAGAGCCCTGCTGGCACCTTCATTTCAGACAGGAAATTGAAAAGCATAAGCTTCTGCCTTTAAGCTAGTGTTTTGTGCCAACTTGTCCAAGAAAGTGAATATGAATTTTGAAGACCCAGCTAAATGGGACAGAGTGCTGCTGTAACAAACATCTGGACGTGCACGTGGCCACAGAGCCGGGATCCAAGGCTGGGCGTTCTGAGCGTGACAGGAAAAGGCCAGACTGTCGAGGCTTGGCAGAACTACCGTCATGTGGGATTCTGGGGAGGCGCGGAGAAAGCTCTGTGGTCTCAGGAAGGGCATGTAGAGAGGGGTGTGATGGGGTCAAAGGGGCCCGGGGGCGGGGGGAAGGCCCTGGAGAAGCAGCGAGCCTGGCTGAGCTGCGTGCTGTGTGGAGAGCTAGTAAGCAAGGAACGTCACACTTGGCTAAGGAAGTCTAGACAGTGCCTGTTGGAGGTGCAGCTGGTTTCTCCTGGTAAAAGGAGAGAGGAATTAAGAACTGGTAAGCAAAGCTCACCCAGAATCTGAAGATTTAGGAAATTACCAGCCCGTCCTTACTGCAAAAGTTATGAGAGAGTTCTGGAGAGAGCACAAGGGTGTGCCCGCCCACGGCTGGCCGGAGCCGCAGAGCACGGAGCCCAGGCCTGTTCTCGGGCCTGGACGCCCAGTGAGCCTTCCTCCACAAGGACAGGACTTGCTGGGACCCGGGCGCTTATTCCTTCCACGCCTTCCCTCTTGGAATGAGGGTCTCTCAGCCCCTCCCTGATTTCTGGAAGGAGGCAGTGTGCACTGGGAGTTTTACCCCAGGATGGACCGTCGAGTCTCTCCACCCCTGACTCAGAGGGATTAGCTTTGATCTGGGACTTAGAGTTGAAACTGGAACAGGTTAACACTTTAGGTTAGGATGGGGTGAATGAATTTTGTATGTGGGAAGGATATGAATTTTGAAGACCAGAGGGTTTCAATGTGTTCAAAATATGCTGAAAAGCTAATCCCTAGAACCTGTGAAATCGCAGAAATAATCAAGTGAACAGGAGGAGGCCGTGGGGATTAGGGTAGGCCCCATCCCATGACCAGTGTCCTCACGAGGGAGAGTTGGAGATGCAGACACCCAGTGGGAGGCCATGGACAGCCGCATCCACACCACCAGGACGGCCAAGGAGCTGGCGGAGGCACGGGATGGACGCCCAGAGCCTCCAAGCCAACCCTGCTGATACCTTGACTTGGGGCTTCTGACCTCCTGGACTGAGAGAATAAACTTCTGTTGTCATAAGCCCCGTTGTTAATTTCTTATGACAACCACGGGAAATGACCACAGATTTCGGTCTTGTGACCCTGTTAAGTTGGTGTCAGATAAGAAAGAACCCCGATGACCTGGACAGCTAAATGGGAATGTGGGCAGTTATACCGGGTAAGCAAAAGGCCAGAGGACCCATCAGGATAGCAACACCATGGGGTAAGGACCCACCAGGACAGGAAGGCCAGGGGGTAAGGGCCCATCAGGACAGGAAGGCCAGGGGGTAAGGGCCCATCAGGACAGGAAGGCCAGGGGGTAAGGACCCACCAGGACAGGAAGGCCAGGGGGTAAGGACCCACCAGGACAGGAAGGCCAGGGGGTAAGGACCCACCAGGACAGGAAGGCCAGGGGGTAAGGGCCCATCAGGACAGGAAGGCCAGGGTGTAAGGGCCCATCAGGACAGGAAGGCCAGGGGGTAGGGGCCCATCAGGACAGGAAGGCCACCAAGGGCCCCCACTTGGTAGATGAGGCTGACCGCTCTCCCAACAGCAGTCTTGCTTCTCAAGGGCCATGTCCGGCATATGCACAGGGCCTTGCTCTGCCTCCAGCAGCTGCAGACCTATTGGTCTCCTGGGACTCTACTTCTCTACCTACAAAATGGAGTTCAAAGCCACGTCCCAGGACAGAAGCTAGCTGGCCTGTCTACATATCATTCAGAGGTCAGGACCCTAGACTACAGGGTCTCCTGGGTTAGGGGGACATGCGGGGTACAAACACCTAAGCCAGTTGTCATAAGGAGGATGGACAGGCTGACTCATCAGTCACTGGACATAGGTGAGGGCTGGGCACGGAGGAACAGACACCCTCCTCGTGAAAGGGGCGTCACATGGGATGACCCGCAAGGCCTGCGCAACTGGGTTATCCTAAAGCAGCTACAGGTTAGTGTTCAGGGGGACAGTGCTGGGTGATGTGTCCTCATGATCCAGGCTCCTCAGCCAGGCCTGAGCCTTGGCACAAGCCTCGTGCAGGAGGGGATTGGCCATGCCAGAGGCACAGAGCTTGGCATAGCAGCTTGGGCAGCAGCGGTAGGGAAGGGCTAGGATCAGGGAAGGCCTGGGAGCGGGGGAGGGCTGGGACAGGGGAGGGCTGGGAGCAGGGGAGGGCTGGAACAGGGGAGGGCTGGAGCAGGGGAGGGCTGGGACAGGGGAGGGCTGGGACAGGGGAGGGCTGGAGCAGGGGAGGGCTGGGACAGGGGAGGGCTGGGAGCAGGGGAGGGCTGGAGCAGGGGAGGGCTGGGAACAGGGGAGGGCTGGAGCAGGGGAGAGCTGGGAGCAGGGGAGGGCTGGAGCAGGGGAGAGCTGGGAGCAGGGGAGGGCTGGAGCAGGGGAGGGCTGGGAGCAGGGGAGGGCTGGGAGCAGGGGAGGGCTGGGACAGGGGAGGGCTGGGAGCAGGGGAGGGCTGGGAGCAGGGGAGGGCTGGAGCAGGATACGAATGGAGCTAGCAATGGAAGGGACTGACCAGGACTTGGTCCAAGCTGGTGGCAGGAGGGAGCTTCCTCCCCACCAGGAACCAGACGCCTCCACGTGGCCTGCCCCACAGAGACTTCAGGGATAAGGATGTGCCTCGGGAGAAAGGCGGCTGAGGGTGTGTGGGGATCGGCAGGCTTTCTCCTGAAGCACTGACAGGAAGAGCAGGGATCCCGGCCCCACCAGACCTGTGGGACTGGCTGAGCTCCCTTCCTGGCACCCAGAGCCAGGAGTCAGCAGGTCCCAGCACCCTCCTCGCAGCCCACGAGAGGCGCCTCTGTAAGAGGGAGGAGGTCCATGTCCCACCCTAACAGCCCCTCTCCCCACCTGGACCAGGGCCATCCTGTGGGAGGAAATGGGGTCACACACTCCGGTTCCAGGCCGCCAGGGCTGCCCACCTCCAGATCTCAGCCAAGCCCCTAGGCACACAGGCCACAAAGCCCTCGGACGCACATGAACCAGAGGGGGAAGGGCTGGTTCATTTGGGTCAGAGGTCATTGAGGCTGGCCCTGGGTTCTGTCCCAGACTTTGCCAGTGTTTCCTCTGAATCCTGTGGGGCCCTCATGTCTAAGAGCTGTCCGCCTGCCTGTGACTGCCCTCCCAGGAAACAGTCTGGGCCTCTCGGCGGCCCAGGCCAGCCCTTTGCTCTTCCTGAGCACCTGGGGCTCCGAGGAGGCCCACGGTCACGGGCAGGGCTGCAGCTCAGACTCCCAGCTGACCCGTGTCCCTGTCCAGCTCTGTTTAGAAGTCAGTGGCCCGCCTTGCCACTTCCCTCAGAGGCCACTGGCCACTTGCCCTCCGCTTTCCACTCAGCCACACCTCTCACGGCCAGGTCCTATGAGGGTCGACTTGGTCCTGGGTGCCGTCTGCAGTGACCCCTTCTGACTTCTTCGTCACAAGATGGCAGGGACGCTCTAGTCCCACTTTCATCTGAGGAGCGAGCTGTCCTGAGGCCAGGATGCACAGCTCAAGCAGAGCCAGGACACTTCCTGGCCGAACCACATGAGGCTGGGGCTGAGCCGATGGGACAACTGGGGGTGTGGCCGCACCCCCACCCCGCGCACTCCGGGGCTGCCTCCTCACGAGGGAGCAGCCTGCCCGTGCCCAGCCCGAGGTACCTCCTTCAGCTCCTGTGCCACCGAGGCCAGGCGCTCGCCCTCCGACTGAGCGTTGGTGAGCACGTTGCGCAGCTGCTTCAGCTCCGTCTGCAGCTCCAGCACCTTCCGCTCGTAGTACTGCTCCTTGGAGGCCGACTCCTGGATCAGACTCTCCTCCCGGCTCTCACCATCCGCGGCCACCTTCCTGTGGTTTGTGTGCACCTGTCCAAATGCCTGTGGGAGAAGAGACACCGAGAGTAGGCCAGGCCAGCACCCCTGCAAGTGCACATGGAGCCAGACACGGGGTGGAGGGTAGGGAGTGGGGGGACTGACTGTAGATCTGTCCATTCATCCTGGGTAGACACCTATGCCCAAGGGGGCCCAGCCTGCATGAGGAGACCAGAGCATGAACCAGGACACTCAAAAGCAGCCAACAGGCCACCACGTGTGCCTAATTCGAGACTCCACTCGCCTGCCCAGGACCTGGGCAGAGCTGAAATTGCCGCCACTCCAGACGCAGGGAAGGCTTTGGGCTGTGGGAGGCAAAGGGTCATGGGGGGACTCAGGGAAGAGCCCATGGGTGAGAGTAACTTGGCCAGAGTCCTGTGTCGGCGGGCGCTTCCCATCGTGCCTTGTCCTCCAGGCAAGGGACAGGCCCCAGGAAGTACCTCTACTTCTCTTTCCCTCCCACCCTGTACATCCCAGCAGCCAAAATGGACCCCCCACAGGCCAATGCTGTGTGCCCTCCCCATGCCCGCTTTCCACAGGCTGCCCTATGCCAACCTCATGAGAGGGGGAGACCTGTCTCTTTACAGGGCTCCTGCGTAGCAAGGAAATTAATACCTTTATTCCTTGAGAGAAACAGGAATATTTCCACTCGTTTGCCGGGGTCCAGCCCCAGCAGGTCCAGGGGTCCCCAAAGGTGTGGATGGAGTCGGCGAAGAAGGAATGACACAGAGACAGCGTTCAGTTGATCAGTAGCCTAGCCAGGATCTCTAGCCAGGATCTCCAGCCAAGTTCTGGTCTGGATCTCCAGCGAAGTTCTGGTTCGGATCTCCAGCCAGGTTCTGTGTCCATGTTCTCTTGCTAGGTTCTCCAGGTCCTCCAGCCAGGTTCTGTAGCCATGTTCCCTCGCTATGTTCTCCAGCCAGGTTCTGTCCAGGTTCTCCAGCCAGGTTCAGTCACCAGGTTCTAGTCAGGTTCTCTTGCCAATTTCTGTAGTCAGGTTCAGTCCAGGATCTTTTGCCATGTTCTCTCGCTAGGTTCTGTCTCTAGGTTCTGTTGCCAGTTTCTGTCCAGGATCTTTTGCCATGTTCTCTCCAGCGAAGTTCTTCTGTCTCTAGGTTCTGTGTAGGTTCTGTCTCTAGGTTCTGTGACTAGGTTCTGTGTAGGTTCTGTATTCTAAGTTCTGTCTCTCGCTGTCTTGTTACATCTGTATTTATACCAGTTGATTCAATCCTATCAATCTCTATTCCAAAGGTTAGGGCGTTTCTTATCTCCATTCCAGGGAGTAAAGATTATGTAGCCTAAGCATGATTGTTCGTAGTTAAAGTGATTAATTACCCGCCTGGCACTTAGTTGAGGGGTTTTATTCCCTCCCTAACTTCAGGGGAAAATCCCTACCTGGGGAAACAACCTTTCTCAGAGAGGAGACCTTGGTTAAAACACATAGTGCCAAGAAGGTGAGCAAACATTTTAAGAACAGTATGCCATATATGCCAGGTCCTTTGAAACAGCAAGCATGGACCGGCTCCCGGCACTCGTTTACTATAATCTAGGTCTAGGCTAACGTGCCAATATGACCAGACAAATATAATACTAAGTCCAGGAATTTAGTCCAAGAAGACGCCTGGGAAACCGTGAAAGGTATGTATAAGACGCTACTAGGCAGGAGTGTTTCTAATATGACAAATTAAAACGTAGAAAGTGATTGGCCAGCCCTAGCTGGTTTGGCTCAGTGGATAGAGCGTGGGCCTGCAGACTGAAGGGTCCCAGGTTCGATTCCGGTCAAGGGTACATGCCCAGGTTGTGGGCTCGATCCCCAGTAGGGGATGTGCAGGAGGCAGCCGATCAATGATTCTCTCTCATCATTGATGCTTCTATCTCTGTCTCCCTCTCCCTTCCTCTCTGAAACCAATCTACACTAATAAAAGACAAACATGCAAATTGACCGTACCTTCGCTACGCCTTAAGCCATGCCCGCCAGCCAATCAGAGCAACTATATGCAAATTAACCCAACCAAGATGGCGCTGGCAGCCACGGAGCAGGAGCAAGGAGGAGGCTTGGTTGCCCCTGGCGAGAGAGGAAGCCAAGCTTCCCTCCCACCTGCCCTGGCTGGCTCTGAGCTCCTCTCAAGGCTACAAAGTTTCAATTATAGAAGGTAAATAAATCCCAGAATAAAAAAAAAAGAAAAAGAAAAAGAGAGCTTGGGAGCTTCCATTGCCAGGGCGGGGGGGAAGGGGAGCCTTGGCCAGCCTGAAAACGGCCCTCAGACCCTCACCCAGACTGGCCAGGCACCCCAGTGGGGACCCTCCACCCAAAAGAGGGTGTTGGCCAGCCTGAAAACAGCCATCAGCCCCTCACCCAGGCTGGCCAAACCTCCATGGGGTGAGGGTCCCCACTGGGGGAAGGGGGGGGCTTGACCAGCCTGCAAACAGCCATCAGCCCCTCACTGAGGCTGGCCAGGCACCCCAGTGGGGACCCCCACCCTGAAAGAGGTGTGACCAGCTGCAAACAGCCATCATCCCCTCACCCAGGCTGGCCAGGCACTCCAGCGGGACCCCCACCCTGATGCAGGACACCCTTCAGGGCAAACCAGCCGGCCTCCACCCATGCACCAGGGCTCTATCCTATATAATAAAAGGGTAATATGCAAACTGTCCCTAACAGTAGAACAACTGGGAATGACTGGTCACAATGACACACACTGACCACCAGAGGGCAGACACTCAATGCAGGAGCTGCCCTCTGGTGGTCAGTGCACTTCCACATGGGGGAGCTCTGCTCAGCCACAAGCCAGGCTGATGGCTGCAGTACAGCGGTGGTGGTGGGAGCCTCTCCTGCCTCCTCAGCAGCGCTAAGGATGTCCGACTGCAGCTTAGGCTTGCTCCCCTCTGGCAAGTGGACATCCCCCAAGGGCTCCCAGGCTGCCAGAGGGATGTCTGATTGCCATCTTAGGCCCAATCCCCCGGGGAGCGGGCCTAAGCCAGCAGGTGGTCATCCTCTGAGGGGTCCCAGACTGCGAGAGGGCACAGTCTGGGCTGAGGGGACCCCCCCCCCCGAGTGCACAAATTTTTGTGCACTGGGCCTCTAGTAAAACTATATTTTAAAAAAGATTGTAAATCATATTTTTATAAGGGTCTAGTATTTAGAACCTGTAAAGAATTATTACTCAACAATAAAAAGATAACCCAGACAGAACCTAGACACAGAACCTACACAGAACCTAGAGACAGAACTTCGCTGGAGAGAACATGGCAAAAAATCCTGGACAGAAACTGGCCACAGAACCTAGAGACAAAACCTAGGGAGAGAACATGGCAAAAGATCCTGGACAGAAACTGGCCACAGAACCTAGAGACAGAACCTAGCGAGAGAACCTGGCTGAAGATCCTAGAGACAGAACCTGGCTACAGAACCTGGATAGAACATGGCAAGAGAACCTGACTAGAACCTGGTGACTGAACCTGGCTGGAGAACCTGGACAGAACCTGGCTGGAGAACCTAGCGAGGGAACATGGCTACAGAACCTGGCTGGAGAACCTAGCGAGGGAACATGGCTACAGAACCTGGCTGGAGAACCTAGCGAGGGAACATGGACACAGAACCTGGCTGGAGATCCTAAACAGAACTTGGCTGGAGACTGTGACTAGAGATCCTGGCTAGGCTGCTGATCAACTGAAAAAAAAAAAAAAAAAAAAAGAAAAAAAAAAAGATAACCCAATTAAAAAATGGACAAGAACTTGAATAGACATTTCTAAAAAAAGATGAACAAATGCCCAAAAAGCACATGAAAAGATGCTCAACATCAGTAGACATTAGGAAAATGCAAGTCAAAACCAAAATGAGAGAGTATTTCACACTCACTAGAATGGCTATAGTTTGTAAAAATGGAAAATGCTGGCGAAGATCTGGAAAACTTGGACCTTGTACACTGGTGCTGCTGCTGTGGAAAACAGCACGACAGTTCCTCACCATGTTAAACACACAGTTACCATGTGACCCTCAATTCCACTCCTAGGCAGAGCTCCAAGAGAAGTAATATACGATCACACAAACACCTACTGTATAAAAATGTTTATCATAGCCCAAAAGTGGAAACAACCCAAATGCCCACAAACTGATGAATGGATAAATGCAGCCTATCCACAAAATGGGAGCACTGGCTGTTTATACAAAGAAATGAAGCACTGATACATGGAACATATAGGAGCTTTGACAATATTCTTCTAAGTGAAAAAGGCCAATCACAAGGGACCATATATTGTATGATTCCATTTACATAAAATGTCCACACAGGCAAACCTATACACAGAAATGTGACCAGCAGCTGCCCTGGGAGGGGATGGAGTTGGGAGGTTAGAACAGGTGAAAGCTAAGGGGTGCAGAGTATCTAACATGGGTTGTGGGGATGGCTACAAAGCTCTGTGAATGTACCAAAAGCCACTGAATTGTATTATGTGGATTATAGAAATAAGTAAAGCTGTTAAAAATACAGCTGTTTTTAAAATTTAAAGGATAAAAAAAGAAAACTATGTTAACACTCACCAAAAGAAAGCTAGCCCTGGCCAGTGTGGCTCAGTTGGTTGGGCGTCATTCAGTGCATCTAAAGCAGTGGTTCTCAACCTGTGGGTCGCGATCCCTTTGGGGGTCAAACGACCCTTTCACAGGGGTCGCGTAAGACCATCGGAAAACACATACATAATTACATATTGTTTTTGTGATTAATCATTATGCTTTAATTATGTTCAATTTGTAACAATGAAATTGGGGGTCACCACAACATGAGGAACTGTATTAAAGGGTCACGGCATTAGGAAGGTTGAGAACTACTGATCTAAAGGGTACCAATTTGATTCACAGTCAGGGCACATGTCTGGGTTGTGGCTCGATCCCCGGTAGGGGGCATGCAGGAGGCAGCTGATCAATGTTTTGCTCTCACATTGGTATTTTTCTCTCTCTTTCTCTCTCTCTCTCAAAATCAATAAAAATATTTTCTTAAAAAAGAAAGGTA